CCCCAAAACCCCAAAACCCCAAAACCCCAAAACCCCGAAATTTTAAATATGAATAGAAATAAGAAAACAAATATGGAAAATATTCATAGTTTTGACTACAGTGGTCCTCAAAATCACACCAATAGTGATCAAGAGTGCATCAGCATTGCTGATGTTGGTTCTAATAAGCCTAAGAGAGAGTAAGAGATGTAATAAATGTTCTAGAGTTGGATATTGAGCTAATCTTGGTATAAATACTCTTCTCACAGATCAGAACAACCCACTTCAGAAATGAAGCAAATTGTTTTAAAAGGTCTAATAAATGTAAGAAATGACAACAACTGTTGCAGGTCGTTAAGAAATTGCAACAGAAAAATAGAGAGAAGAGAGAGAAGTTGCAGAAATATTGAAAGGATATACTCTCAATTGTGCGAAGTAATCCGTTAAAGTGAAATTTTAGAAGTTATTCAGCCACGAATGCAGAAATATATAAAATAGCCAACTAGGATACGATAATTTACTAAAGAATATCCTTAAAAATTCGCAAGATTTCTTTCATAAGACTCAACTTAACAATCAGATTGAGCTGGTTGAACTCACCCACTCTGTAACAGAAAAATTAGTTAAAGAGCTTAGGGTGTTTTATTCTACTCTAGAGCAAAATTCCAGACTAAAAGGGCAGTACAAGGCTTCTAAGATGTATGACTATCTCAATTTTAACCAATCAAAATATAAATAAGATACTGAAAGAATACAGTCAATTGACTAAATGAAGATTAGGTAATTCCTCTTTGCTACATTTCTTAAACTGGACTAATCAGACTCTTTAGGAATGAGAAGAGCTAAAACTTCAAGATCGTCTCAATCAGTCCCAACTTCTTTCGAGATTACCTCAGACATTAAAAAGACTCTATCAAACTATGTAAGAATTTATATAAACCCTAGGATGCTCAAATCAGGAAAATCTCTAAGGTCCTGAGAGCAAAGAGAGAGGTGCTCAAAGAAATTGGGTTTCAAAGAAACAAGCTTGCTGACAAGCTCCTTCAGAAGCACATCCAAAAAACTGAAAATGGAAGAGCCAACCATGTTAAACCACTTCACCAGAGAAGTCTCAGCATGATCATTCCTCCTGCAAAAGAGTCTAAGTTTGATTACAAAGGCAAAACCAGCAGTGATGGGATCATTAACTCTTCATTCACCTCAAACAAAAGTATGCTGGTTGGGTATCAGAAGGGTGTGAATAATGAACTCGAGATGAAGCTCAACATGAAAGGCCTCAGATCTAGCATTGAGAAGGAAATTGAGGCCTTAAGAAAACGGAAGCATGAACTAGAACAAAAGAAAGAGTTTGAAGATACCCAGATTCATAATCTCAATGCCAGTTTTATGACATATGAATCTAAGACCATTACTATGGAGAAACAAAAGGATTCTGTCCTTCTTCAAAACTCCTTCCTTGAGAATGAGCTGAAAGAGAGGGACAGTGCAGTCAGTGGACTTGTGCAAGAGATAAATAATAAATATCAGAACCGAAAGAAGCTCTCAGTATCACTCAATATCTCAAATTCGAATTCAAATAATGAGAAGAATAAAAGTTTTGACAAGAGGAATGATTTCGCTACATGAGCAGGAGTTACCCAGGATACAAGGTTTCAGACATATGATTCAGGCAAGGAAACTTCAGAGATGAGGAAAAACTTCTTCTCTTCCTTCTCTGGTCGGTTCGAGGAGATTCTTACCTCACAGAAGGCGATAAGCCCGGACAATAAGAAGTATATGACACAAAAAGCTAATAAGAAGAATCAGTTTAACCTTCCTGATTCTCCGTCAATTTTCAAAGCAGCAGCTGATATATTCTCAGATAGAGAAATAAGTGAGGATGGCATGGATATTGATGATTCCTTGTCTGATGTCCCAGTCAGAGACTGCACTAATATTGAGGAAGATCTGGAAATGAGTAAGAATCTTTCAATGGAAGAATCTGAAATGATCCTTGATAACCTCGAGTTCTTATCACCGCTACTCTCTAAACCTTCAAGAGAGCTCAAAGTAGGGAATGGTAATAAATTTGTAAATACCCCTTCATTTAAGTCAAATCATGCTCAGAGGCAGAATGAGTTTAAGATGGTAAGACACAGAGTAAAAAGCGCTATAAATTTTGATGGCTACACCAATGTTCCCCTTCTAGAGCTGGGAAATATCCCCGAAGAAATTGATGAGAGTAAGAATTACTCTGAGAATACACAAAATCATCATTTTGGCAATCCTCCAGAATCCTGTGATAATAGTGCTAGCAAGGAAGAATTTAAGTGGAACAAATCTGAGAGCATCAACAAATCTAATTCTGGCACTATGATTTCGAACTCTTCAGAGAAAGGGTTTGGGAAGTTAACCAGTGCATTTGATAAATTTATAAAAATCAAAAATCATGATCAAGGAACTTTGGAGCCAGAAAGACTCACTTTTAATATAAAAGATGGGATGTGAACACCGAATAAACTTACACCAGAGAAGCAAGTGAGCTCGATCGAGAATACCCTGCATGAGGACCTAAGAATATTTCATCAGTCTTCTAATAGTTCTAAGAATCCTAAGAGTGTACAGAAGAGAGCTCCAAGTTTAAGCTCCCAGACTAACGAGGAGGGTACTGAGTTTCAGCTTTATTCTACTTTTGGTGTGACTAAACCAGCTGTAAAACCACAGGAGGCTAAATCTTGCATACATCCCGAAGGGATAAGCTTGTAAATTTTACTATAACCTCTGTAAAACCATAAGAGTGATATTTCTACTTCCATGTTAACGATTTTATAGCAAATTTAATGTTTAAATATTTTGTTGCAAATAGGGGTTTTGGGGTTTTGGGGTTTTGGGGG